ATATAAAAAAAAAATTGTGCAGAAATTAATAGGAATTTTTTGGTCACTTACCATTTTCTGAGGTGGTATAAAAATTAAGTCCATACTGCATTCGGGAGTTGCCAATAAAGGTTTAATTGGCTTTTGTTCCTTCTTTTCATCATCTCCTTCTTCTTGGCCTTTCTCTCCGTCTCCCCCTTCTTCTTCCTCTTGCTCACTGCCAACCGGACTCTCCAATTTCACCAAACTGGGATGATCTGAGTACATATCATACAGATCATGCACGTATTCGTTCATGTCGCTTTTCACCTTTAAGTACTTTTCCCGGGCAACGGCGTGTCTTCGGCGTTCTGCAGGTGTAAGTTGGGGCAGCACACACTCTACAAAACTACTTTCGAGCTCACATTTCCGTTTATAAGCACTAAAGCGATTTTCTCGGGCACGACGATGTATACGTTTAATCTCATCTTCTAAGGTAAGCACTTTGGCTATTGTCGAGTTTGGCGGCAAATTGCAATCGCGATCGTAACCACAGGTATCAGTTTTCCATTCCGGCGTAGTTGGTCTGATGGGCTCCCCCAAATAGGTGCGAACTTCATACGGATTGCGGGAAGGGCTTTGAACTGAATTTAAAGGAACAAATTTTTTATACATTTTGTCCTACTTTTTTTAGGTCCTTTTTTTTAAATGTTTTATTATGACTATTGCTCTGATATGAATTTTCCACACAAAATTTCAATTATAATGGGCAACCGAAATTTTGTCCAAAACACACAAACCAAAACCGCTTAAAAAATTTCGATAGCCTTTAGAACGTTTTGATTTGAGTTAACAAAAGCATTGACAATAATTGCAAAGTTTACGATTTGTTTTACACTCTTTAAATTTTTAATAGTTTCTATTCAAATTTTTCGAATTTTTTAAATTTTTTTTAAAGAATTTTCGCTTTAATTTAAAATTTAAATAACTAAATCGTTTTGTCGATGTCCATATACTCTATCAAAGAAATTTTTTTATATGAAATTACATTTATATCAAATGTAAATTGTTAAATTTTAAATTTAGAAAATCAAGTGAAAACCATATGAAAAGGCAAGAGTGAAGTACAAAAATTTCTAAATTAAATCTTATAATGATTGAATGGCCTTTGCTACTTGGATCTCAAATTTCTAATAGTTTTTCAGCGTAGTGAACAAACCGACATACGTCAGAGTAGACACTTTGAATTTGGTATAATTGCAGGAACGCGCTTTATATATATTTGTTGGAAATTAGCAAATGATTCTTTTATTTTTTCATTCATTAATTATATTCATGAAGAAAGTTTAGCTTATTTCATATTTAATAAAATATAACACAATCCAATACATTTTGTCATAAATTAGGTAACAAACAAACAATTTTTTTTTATTTTTACTATGTGTTATATGTGTAACGCTGCGATACTACCGACCGAACACATACCATAGCTACGATCGTACACCAATCGTATTTGAAGTAAGATCTACCGCACTGAGGGTTGAGCCCACGTATACCGAGACTAGAGAGAATCCTTAATTACAAGCAGAAAAAAAACGATATTCTACTTCAAATGCATTGGAAATACTTACCATTTTTTTTCCAAGTTGGCTGATAGCGAGTCTATTCACATAAACGGTTTACGTTCATTTTCAAATTCAAAAGTTTGTTGACTCAAAAGAGCACAGAATTTATGCGTTGCGCCGAAGCAAAAACCGACTACATTTTAACGTAGAATATACTATCGATTAAATAATTAACGAATTAATGCGGAGGTTCTATCTGCTCTCTGTAAATTGAAACCTTTAAAAACTCATAATACAGTCCAAAGTTTAAGAAAGACGATTGCTATGTTTTATTTTAAGTTTAAATGGCAATTTTATATATTTGTTCATAAATAATAACAAAATTTGTTAAACGATTATAAAAACTGTTTTCTAGATTTTATAAATAGCGAAAAAGACATTTCTTTTTAACTAACAATATTAGTCATCAAATAACTACTCTTAACGGTAAACATGGTTAATGATATAAAGAGCGCAGTCGAAGTAATTCATTGGACCTACGTTGGAATTATACTGTCAAAGGTTAATGAAACCCCAAACTAATGAACAAATAAAAATTGAATTATTTAAAAAAAATATTTTTCACTATACTTACTTATATTTACTTTTTTCAATTGTTGCGTATCTTTGGTAGGTCTAACAATTAAGTTACTTCCACTTCTAAATTTTTGTTTTGTGTTTCCTCTCACTAACGTAATTATTTCGGATGTATTTAAAATTCCATAAGAGTTTAACTTTTTTCTTGTTTGTCTTTTTTTTTTAGTTTTGTTTGTATTTTTTTGGTTAGTGCTTAGCCTGAGGGAAATGAGGTTTGTTGAAATTTTTCTTTCCTCTAAATTACGGGAACACCGTAAACGTAAATGGCATAATTTTTTTAAATTTGACTTAAAAGAGATGTTCGTTTGTTTTAGTAACTTGACGAGTATAAAACAGGTCGCCTTATATTATGAAGAAATCGAATATTTTAGTAACTATCAACTAACTATTCGATATTGCTAAATGTTTGATTAAGATGTAATCCGATTTTAAATAATAAGCTGAGACAATGTAATTTACTTAAAAAAATAATTATTTCGCTTTTCTGACAACTCGTTTGTCGTCATTGTCGTCATACTTACTACCCAGCTGTCTTAGCTCAAATATAACAGGCGTGGTCTTACATACTCTTTTTGTTCTTCATCACAAAGAGCAAAAGTTACGAAAATTTTTTATTTTGAATCATTATTAATATTTAAACTTTCTTTAGCAGCCCTGTTTATGATATCTCCGTTGTATATCTATGTTGTCCATAGGGGAACCTATGCTTGTCAAACGCGGTATTGTTGCACACACTACATTATTATATCACGTATTAATAAATAATAGAACATATAAAGAAATCGAATATAAAAGTTGTTTTCATTATCAATGTATAAATCAACCCTACCCTCATACCGATTGCTTTGTGTAAACAGCTGGTATTTATTGTTCATATAAGCTGTGTATCGTACATAGAGCGCTGATCTCGTATTTTGTGTATTTATAATGCAATAATATCGTTGTTTTTTTTGCTCAGTGATGCCAATCCCTTTAAAAAACGAACTAAATTTATAGAAACCACAATTTGTGAATCCAGATTTCAAAATTTCTAAATTATACGAAGTGAATTATTAATCTATAAGTATCGACATTTTCAACGAAGCAGCTATTAAGAGTCATAATTAAACTTTCTTTAAGAAAAATGTATTAAAAGTTAACCAAAAAGAAGCTTCCAACCGTTGCTGAAAGCTGTAAGCTGACATCACTGTTTATCGTATACACGAAGTACAAAGAAAAATTTTGATAAATGCATCAATGCATGAAACTGACTGAAATTTTTTTGGAGATTCTATAATGTTGTGAAATAAAATACGGAAAAACAAAAAATTAAAAAATTAATTAAACCCAGAGTAAAAAATGTAATTTTTTATAATAGGAAAGAATACAGTGCATTTCATTTGTGATATATGTGAGAGTTCGTGGGCTCCATGAATATAAAGAAAAGGGAGTTTTGCGGAACATGTTCTGTTTTCCAGTTTTATAGAATATATTAAAAATTTAGTCGTATGCACGGAGTAGTTTAATATTATTTTTAAGACGGATATGCGCATTAAACTTTATGCAACAGAACGTTACATGAAGGGAAAAACAGAAAAGAAGAAAAATCAAATAAACAAATTAATAATAATAATTTGAAAACTGTTGTGTGTGTGCATGGGTGCATGCGTATCAATATAACAATATAATTATTCTCCGTTTGCTTCTAAACGACAAAATGTGGATAGAACCAAAAGAATTGTTAATATCATCACCTCTCTGGTGAGTTATTACCATTAATATTTTCACATATCTATTAATCATCTAATTGAATCCTACCTGAGTACATCGATTCCATTGTGAAACATTGTCAATCCTTTTTTATGAATTTTATGGTTAAACTACAGGTTGAGAATCGTCCGAAAATAAAATTCGGCAGAGGATCTCAAACGTGTTCTTTGACTTAAATAATTATTTACACATTAATTTTATACACAAACAATAATATACAACAGTGTAGTACATAGTGTGTGCACTATGAAAGAAGAAATCTCTTAGCTATGAAGTGTTTTTTTTTTTTCGAAATGTGTTAAAATTATGGTCTTTCTAACTTGTTTATCTGGTAGCTTAGGAATCTTACCGTATCTTAAATGCAGACGGTTTTGCAATTTTTGCATGTAAATTAATAGAGAAAAGCATCACAAGTAACTTTATGAAAACGTATCTTTCCTCCTTATAAGCATGACACAATAAACAGATTTGAAATCTAAAGTTGTGTTGAAATTTTAGCCTTATTTTTTGTTAAAATTATCTTAGAAAATAAGATCTGAAAGTAATTGCGATCAGTTTGAAGAAAACTTAGAAGATATGTATAAAGTTATAATTTCTTCTTTTATAAAGACTGTATTAAAAGAAAAAAACGAAAAAAGAAAAAACCAATTGGCGAAGCCAAACTCTCGTAAGATTCTGACGATATGTTCTCGGATGGATTCTACATCCATAAATCTGCAAACATAAAGATAAATAATTTTCACAATTTTTAAGCCTTCATTGAACAATATCATTGGAAGTAAAAACATTATTGACATTTTGCTGTTACATTAGTATAGGAATGCAAATATTCAGAGTGAGAAGTCTGAACAAATACCTTGTTTTTATTTAAACAAGTTTAACTCAGAAAGTCTGGAGTTCATTGAGACATACAAGATTTATTTTATAACATAGTATGCGGAGTGTTGCTTTACTATTGTTAGACGGTATAAAAATTACTTGAGTACTATGCACTTTTAAAATATTTTCTTTTCCTGATTCTATATTGTTTAGGACCCATGAAAAATGTTCCAAATACTTTGTTTTACAAAAACGCCGAGGTCATGGTGAATCCGGCTTAAGTTCTTTGCTGGTTGGCACAATTGACAGCGTATTTGATACGAAACCAGCACCGTATCGTATTTTGCATCGGACGCCTAACTCGGAAGTCTTCTATGGTGAGTTTTTAAACAAATATTTCTAAAAATTTTATAACTAAGTTTATAAATATAAATATTTTCGCATAATATACAAATATTCATTTAAAAGAAGTTTTGAGTAAATGAATGAATAGTTGTCTTGTTAACCCATCTTAGAAAATTATTCAAAATTATCCGTATTGTATGTATATCATTATAAGTAAATATAAAAAAAAAAATCGGAAATAACTTAAGCGTTCGATTAGCTGATAGGCTACTCGACTAATCAAACCAATCTGATGCAGGTGTTATTCAGCTTTAACACAGATGCTTTGCTATTTCACTTAGTAAAATTCGTTTTGCTTTTATCAATTTTCCTTTTTTAATTTCATTTCATAATTTTCATTTTGTTTTTCCTTTGTTCACGCAGTCGTCTCTCTAATTCATGATAAGTTATAATTTTATTGTTCTGCAAACACATGAAGAGGGCACTGTTTGTAGCCATACATGCAAACAAACATAGATTGTTTTTTTTTTCGTATAACTCGCAGTAAGCAATAAGAAAAAAATATAGAAATAATAATAAAACAAACCACAATCAGTGTTTGCAAATGAAACAACTGTTATAATATTTACACATATTTAATAATAAATGGCTGGAATTATGTATGGTTAATATTGAGAACATTCGACATCCAAATAAAGGGATTTAAACAAAGTAATGTCATCTAATAATAAAAATCTTCATATTAAATGTTGTCAAATGTAGGTAAAAATAATAAGAACCTTATCAAAATATGATAAGGATATTAACCAAAGTCAGATGATAAAAATCATATCTTTATTATGCACGCACACACGACTATGTCATTAAATAAGTACATTACAGCAACTGCGATGAAGGTATGTACGCAACTGCCAAAGCGATTTGAAATAGACCAACATTTTGTTATACCAATTAAGTTTGAATCAATTCTGCCTATTTATTTTTGTGTTCAATGTATAGGTCGCAATTTTCAGGCTAATTGATGAAATTTCGTAACTTAACATATTCAGCTCTAGGAAGAAACTTGTTAAATCGGACCGGATTAGATTGCATCATTTTCAGAACGGGTCTTCATATAACGTTCTATTTTCAAAAGTCATTACATAAAAAATATGCATCGATTTTAAACTTTTTCTCCAAAGAGCATTGGAAAATGTTTATTAAATGGTTATGGAAAGTCAACGTAAGACGGGAAAAATTTTTGAACCTTCTACCATATAAACGATCTTGCATATAAAATAAGATTTTATTTCGCAATATTCTTCCTTTTAATATGTAAGATGAATGTTAGTCCAAACAATATATACTGCACTAAATTTGGGCTGCATAAGTCTTTCTTTCGCCATCATTTCCATATAAGGATTCTCATGACAAGTAAACTTTTATGAGCGCTTAGTAACTGCATTCTAAGAATTTATTCTCCGACATCTAGTGAGGTCATAAGTCAGATTATGGCTATAATATGGCTATGTTGGTGACGCAAGTTATTAGTGCAATCCTTGTTATGATTGATTTCTCTGAGCTCTTTGATAATGTATGTGTGTGTGCGTGTATAATCCATTGTTAGAAAAGCTAAAGACTAACTTTGGGTTCGGTTAAGTCTTATTCGGAAAATCGATGTTAGTGTGTGGAAATCTACTACTCTTTCCCTGAGGAAAGAAGTACTAATTCTGTTGAATCACGTAGCTCTCTATTAGGGCTCATTTTATTTAGCGTCTATTTAGCGTTTATATAATAACGAAGCCCAAATATACCTATATCGGCCGCGGGAATTTTTGGTAAATTTAAATCAGCGAATTAATGAAGATTTGAAACGCATCTCGTATTGGCCAGCTATCAATGAGTTACAGTTACACTGAGATAAAACCAGAGCTTATAATTCTGACTCTATCTAGTGTTACAAGGGCTCATGCAGCGATTGATATTGCCAGTCAGATTTCCAATCTTGGTTATATAATTAACTCACGTTTTAGTGCCAATTATCATATCAATGGGCACGAGTGTACTCCTGTTCCAATTCAAGCTAAATTCAAATTGGTTCAAACTTTTGTATTAACAGTTATAAATTATGGAGTCAACGCACATGACGATCTCGACGATCCGTCAAAGGGTAGACTATAGTCGGTTGTCCATAAGTGTGCCAAATACATCTTCAATAAGCGTAAGCACGCCAGTACGTCGCAGTTTTCATCAACAATTTTAGACTCTGATTTTTCAGAAAAAATGCGCTCTTCACTTATCGCTCGTAAACTGCAACAATAAAAATTCGCATTTTCTATTTTAAAATAACGGTATTGAGCACAGAATATCCGATCATAGTCGAATATAATTTTCTTACTTGGTTACCCTTACATACATTTCTTATCTTTTGCACTGATGAAATTTAGAAGTGCAGCATTAGTGGTGTTGCTGCTCTCACACTCTATATAACATTATCTATCATTATTTTGTAATGAGATCAAGCTTTTTCTTTATGGATGGGAGCAATCGTGCCAGTAATATACAAAAAACATATATTATTATATATGAAAGAGCGGTGGAAAACTGAAAGCTTACATGGAAAAGGCCACACAAACACAAGTAAGAAAGTTATATTCGGCTGGGGCCGAATCTCGTATACCCACCACCATTAAAATCTTTGACGCCTCATGCTTTTATTTATTGTCATAAAAAAGTGAGTGATCGTCTCTTATATCACTAAAAGGTATTGTTAAAAAAAATTAATCTACCACGTCGTGACGACTCTCACAATTAATTTCGTATTAACGCATTTACCGTTTCCCATTGTGCTGTCTACGCCCTTTTATTTGAGACCCATATGGATGATATCTTTAAGAAAAAATGTATTGATCATCATGTTGTGATGTTCATCCCAATTAAGTTAGATTTAACACACAGCTTGTCGCATTCTACTCTCCAAGTCTTTTTATGTGGAAAATTATTTCAATATTTCGTGACGCCTATCATAATTAATTTACAATTAACACATTTAGCTACTCACCCTCTACTCTCCAAGTCCTATTGTTTGATATCTACATTTGATGAATGCATAAAATAGTTTTAAGCATTATTCTGCCTTGTTTATCTTATGATTAAAAAGCATAAAACTTTAAAAAAGTAAAAAAAAAAAATGAAAATTTAATCACTAGCAACTTTGTGTGAGCATTGCCCACATTTTTCCATTTTTGCATATAAATAGTAGAGTTTCTCGTAAAGTAAATGTGAAAAACTTCAGCCTTCTATGTGCATATAATTTGCAAGTAATGAGCAAGAACTCAGAAATATTTTTCTAACAAAACAAAATTTGCGTTTGAGTTACGCTTCACTGCCGGCTTGTGCTATGACTAATTTGGCCAATTTTCAATACCACCCTACGGGCAAAAACTTTCAATGTCTCTACCAAATTTGATATGTTCATTTTTGACAACCGGGAGAGTATCAACAACATATACTACACAGATGGACAGACATGGCTTAATCAAATCAAAATTTCATGCTGATCAAGTATATATATATATATATATATATATTGTATAGGCTTTCTGAAGTTTCCTTTTGATTGTTGCAAACATTATGACAAAAAAAGCATCCCCTAATCCTTCAGTCGTGGGTATAAAAATATTAAGATAAAAAAAAAAGTTAATGTTTGTATTAGAAACCTATATAGTAAATATTTTAAACTGGGATAATTCCTCAAAGAAGTTGCATATTCGCAGAAAATGCCTATATGATGCAAAGAGTCGGCTCATAACTTACCAGTTCAAAATGTGCAAACCGTCCATGTTTGAGAGCTCGCGCGCTGCCTTCAGCTAAAGAATTCCATTTAAACTACGACAAACTTCGTACGCTAAATTGCTTGGAAAAGTTTTATTGACGTAGACTCAGTCACTTATTAGGTGTTTGCAAAAATTTTGATCGGCGACTTGTACACGTAAAATTGATAAGGAAATGGGAAATGCGATCATCACGATTGTATTGAATGATTTTGACTTTCCTCTACATAAAAGAACAGTTACATATTTAATATTATTGATTTATTCAGTGTACGCCCGACGGTGATCATGGAACAACCCTCACAAGTCTGCTTGTTCCATATTCCATATTATTTTGTTGTTTATTTGAAGAAATCTGCTGCCGAAGCCGAGCAAACACATTCACAGGATTGTGATGATGCTGCTCGATTATATGTTCGCCAATTAGTATCATCTTAAACGCAATCGAACAATTTACAATCGCCTTTAGGCAAACCGTAAGGCAAACTCTACAAAAAAAATAATTTGGTATCATTTCGCTTAAGCAACAATGACAATTCAGTCAATTTAAGACTCTTAACCCATGTGGCTGTTGTAATATCCGAAACAACTTGAAATAGGACCATCTTTTGTTATAACGATCGATTCTGAATCATTTTCTCAATCGATCTAAGCTTGTCTGTCCGTACAAAGTCTGTCCATCTATTCGTCTATTCAGTTTACGAGTCACAATTTTCGGGATCATTTTAATTGTAACAATATTGACTGGATCTGGTCTTCAATATTTGCGAAAAAGTAAACCTTATTTTGTTTTGCCTATGAAGATATGAAAACATTTCTCCTATAAACTAAAAGCTCTTCTGCTTTTTCATTTTTTTATTATTTTTTTTTTTAGAAGTCGCTATTGGTCTTACGCGCATTGAAATCCACAACGATTGGGAATGGCTTACGCAGAATCTCTTCGAGGTACTGAATGATATGGAAAGCGAAGATGAGATAACCAATTTTACTATGTGTAAAATAAAATCGCTTCACGCTCAAAACAATCAAAATGAAACGGGCGATACGGCCGATTTTAAAGTGGTTCAATCCAATTTTCGTAGGTATTTCAAAATGCCCGAAGAAGAACATTTGGTCAATTATTACAAATGCACGTAAGTGACGAATACATTTAAATCAATAATTCACTATTCCGATTAATATTGGGCATTATTTTATTCCTTATATATTAGTTATGTAAAAAATAAAATACCACGACAAGGGCACTTGTATATATCTTTAAACCATATTTGCTTCTACTCGTACATGCTGGGACAAGAGACAAAACTGGTTATACGTTTGTCGGAATTGGAAGATATATCACGCAGCAGTAATATTATCTATTTGAAAACTATTAATGGCATGCAATATAATTTTACCATATTGTTTAACTCGACTGAAGCCTACGAGTTTATAGAACTATTAAATGGCATGGCGATGCAACAGATAATACAGGTGAGAAAGAAAATTCGATTTTCTATATATGTTGCATAATGTTGCACAAATTTTCATTAAGGATCCTGAAAGTCCTATAATCGATCATGATCCGTTATTAGTGCAACGTTTAAATCGTAAGACATCAAAAAAGCCAACATTGTGTCTTGATTTAGTAGCTCGACAGAAATCTGAGGAATATCGCGCGTACTTTCGTTTGCCACAACGAGAGATTATTGATGGGACTATAAAAGGTAAAGTTCATAAGATTAATAGCAATTTTCTGTTAATATCCATTCGCTATAATTGCTTTACTTTTTCCGTTAGCTAATCTGTGGACACCATATTCAAAGAGTTATGTGGGCGGTAGCATTTATTTATCCAATAATTTCTTTTGCTTTAGCAGTGATGTGAAAGATTTCGTTAGTGTCGTTATACCGTTAAAAGTTATTAAGGTAAATAAAATTTAATTGTAATTTGTACTTACCCCACAAAGAACGTTTTCATTCTATTCATAAAATTTCCTACTTCTAACTCTCTGAAAGAAGTTAGTGTAGAGATTATTGTTTCATTTATATTCACATTTCCAAAGAAAGTATGGAATCGTGGAAGCTGGCAAATTGCATGGTACATAGCTAGCTACTTGCAGCTCGAAATACGTCTCACAGAGTGAATAAAAGGTATCTTATGTGTTGTTTGTGGGCGTAAGATTCGGTGTTCATATAGAAAATGCCATAAAAAATTACTTCAGCTAAAGAAAATAAATAGTTTCTTAGGAATTGATTTATGAAAATATATTCGGTTTATGGAAACGTAAGTTGATGGACAAAGTCCTTTCTTCGTCCATAAGCCTCATTTTTCTTTCTCATTGCGCGACTATTTTTAACATTCCCTTTGTGATATGAAGAGATACAGATGAAAAATACAGACGAAAAACTATATATTAGGTGCGCAAATAAATTTTCGGCCTATACGTAGCTAGCGCTAACTGTATGCGTAGAGGTTGTACATATTAGAAGCTGTGATTTTGTCATAGCTTGTGGACATCTGTCAACAAAAATCGGTCGCAACGCTAATAAAATCTCGTGTTTTACTTTTCCTGTTTAATTCGAACGATGACGTTAAATCGCTACAGGAGATGAATAATAGATGCGATATTTAAAGCTCAAGCAGCCATCATGCTGGATGTACTATGCATTATTTTAATCAAGCAAAATTATTATCAGCAAACGCCTACTACCAACAACTGATGCAGTTGGAAAGATAAACAGGCGCAATATGGCGGAATCCAGCCACATAAAGGAAAACTCGCCGAGGAAACGCAATATCTGGAATGGAATATCATCGCCATTCTCTTCAGCAGACATGATTTCTTTTTTTAATTAATATTTGTTATATGATCCCATGATCTATCGCCTGTTCTAGCACGGCTTCCATTCTTATGAGGATACCCTAAAAATTGGTGCTCTTGTGCACGGTCTCATATTTAAATCCATTGCAGAATTGCCAATCGTTTCCATGTGGAATTCAAAAATTTTAACAAGGTTTGAGACATCGGTCATTGATCAGCAATAAACAATAATATTTTTTTGGATTTCACTTTAAATTTTTCAATATATTCATTAAAAGCTGCAGATTTAATTGCGCAAATAACATATATTTTAGTCGTGCAATTTCTGTTACGCCTGCTTACTACTTGTATTTCCAAACATCTCTGCTATACCACATAATATAACCTGAAGACAATTTCCTTCCACAATCGAAGTATGTGGAGGTATATTGATAATTTCGTCATTTCATTTTCTACAGTTGAAAATAAACATGAGGGGATAGAGAAGAGATAGAAGTGTAATGTCGGTTGCTCTTCACTGTAACAGAAACAGACATAACGGACCAGCTTGGCAGGTGTAACTTATTTAATAAAATTTCGTTTGTTGGCCACGCCGTCTACAGTGATCTTAATAAGTTTTACGATTTTTAACCAATCTGCGGCTATTTGCCTAATTGAAAGATCTTCTTCTTAATATTATGTTTATGTAACTTAATCGGCACACAACTCAGATTGTTAAAGAGATATTGTTTTTCTAACATTTTCGCGATAAAAGAAAAGTATTTCTATTTTTTTTTTTTTTGCATTTGAATTTTCAGAGCGTTGAGAAAAAGGATGATGATCCCCATCGTTCTGGAAATAATATTGTAATAATAACTTCTGAAAATGTTCCGTTCATATTTTCATATATTGCTGATCGCGAGGTGTTGCTTACAAAAATTACCGATTTACTAAGCAGATTTCATGTGTAAGGCACATTTTTACACAAATATATTATCACCTGCGTATATTGCGTATATTTAATATTTCTTAGGCCCAAAAATCGCGAACGACCGAAATATGATATATCGTGGAGTAAACAGGCAGCTCTCATCAATAATCATACAACCGAATTCACACCTGAAATGGAGGAAAAACAAAATGAGAAATTGGCTCGTTGGGAATCACATTTTCGCGATTATGGGCGTGGTATTTCAATGTTTCGCACAACGGCTGTTATAAATTTAATAGCCGAAGGCATTCCCGACAAATTAAGGCAAGAGATTTGGTTAATATTTTCGGGGGCAATACATGAAAAGGAAATGAATCCCGGTTTATATGAGGATTTAGTAGAAAAGGCTGCATGCCTTAAACATTGCTCAGTACATGATGAAATTGAACGCGATTTAAGACGATCATTACCTGAGCATCCCGCTTTTCAACATGACGACGGTTTGGGTGCGTTAAAACGCGTCCTTCAAGCCTACGCTTTACGCAATCCCCATGTGGGCTACACGCAAGCAATGAACATTGTAACGTCCGTATTCTTGTTATTCTGCGATGAAGAGAATGCTTTCTGGATGTTGGCTACGCTATGTGAAAATTTATTACCCGACTATTATAAGGATAAAGTAGTAGGAGCTCAGGTATGATAAATCAATTGAAGAAAACAAGACAATGCCATAAGTATATTTTATATATTTGTTTAGATTGATCAAGGTGTTTTAAATGAATTGGTCAAACATTATCTGCCTGATTTGCATAATCATCTTGACAGATTAGATACAATAGGTATGATATCCTTATCATGGTTTCTAACTATTTTCATTAGCGTTATTTCCTATGAGAGTTCATTGCACATCATTGACTGTTTTTTTTATGATGGAGCGAAAGTCATATTTCTTATCGCTTTGCAAATACTTGATTGGAATCGTGAAAAACTTTTAAATTGTAACGATGACGGCGAAGCGATGTTAGTACTCACACGTTTCCTGGAGGGCATTTATAATCCAGATTATCATTCGCCATTGGCCAATGATAAACGCAAAGTGAAACGCACGCAAACAGTTCAAACTCTCATACATGCAGCCTATACTAGATTTGGCGAGATAACGTTACAGCGCATACAAGAGCTGCGCAATAAACATCGTCGTCTCACCATTCGCAAATTTGATTTAGATAACGAAGTTACTATAGTAAAATTCCACATGGACAACATGTATTTCAATAGCGAAGAGTTGCGCATGCTTTTGCGCATAATACGTGAAGAGAAGCAAGCCTATCGTAAGGCTCATCAACAAAAACAACAAATTCATGTTGGAGAATCACCCATTTTAGTGCAAATAGCTGGCGATTCGCCTTGTCGTCAGAAACTGGCTTTACCAGAAGGGAATTGCAGTCGTGCCGAAGCCTACAGTGTAGACTTTGACACATATCGTGTTCTCTTCTACGAATTGACACCGTGGCGTTCCTGTGTTACAGTTGACTTGGCAGAGAAATTGTTTAGAGTAAGTAAAAAAGAAAAGCGAAAACAAAAAAGATTGAAATTCATTCTCATCATTTTTTTATCTATATAGTTGGCAGATAAAAAAAGTACTGGCCTTTTAGATTTCTCGCAAATTCTCAATTCCTTGGGCTTAGTGTGTTCAAGTAAATACACTGAGAAATTGAAACTTTTGTATATATTACATTTGCCACCGTTACTGTCTAAAGCGGAGATTGATCAAGTGCGCAAACCTCGAATAAAAACCGAAGAAAATACCGAAGAAGCTATAGAAGCTGAAGACTTTTTCGGTGACGATCCCTCAGAATCTATTGAGGCTTTGCCTTCGCCAACGGACAATAATTTCGATGAGAATGATTACGCTTTAATTACAGCTACACAGCGTTTGCGTTCACTGGCTGGCATGTCTAACAATCCACTAATGGATTTAAAAAAAAACCCAAATTTATCGTTAGCCAACTCAAATAACTCTTCAATGGCCGTTAATGCACGAACGTCAACTTTTTACGTAGATCTGTCTGAAGATGAACACAGTACTCCGCCATCTCAACGTATTGTCGAAACGGCTCATTCGCAAAACGGTGCAAGTGCACCTCTAAATACTTTACAAAAGCAAGGCCGTTTTGAATCGATTGACACATTTTCTGATATTTCTGATTTGGGAGCGGCCAAGGTGACCCCACCACAATTAAATGTCGAAACAATTTCGAATTTCTCACAAATCAGTGATCTGGTAATGACAACAAATGCCGGCCACAAAAGAGAACGAACCGATTCGAATACCGATAGCAAAAGTTTGGGTAGTTTAAGGTATCTCGTAGATCAGCCAGATGATGCCAGTTCACCTAATAAAAATATACCGAACATGAAGAAGGCCAACTTTCAAATATTATGGAAGAGCTTAATAGAAATTCTAGGCGAACAAGATACGGATATGTTGCAATCGTGTAAGTTGAACAGATAGTCAACTTTAAGGTTTTGAGAAAGCATACGTTTTGTTTACAGTTGAAAATCTTATTGAATTGGGTAATAGCAATATGAAGAAAGACTCTAGCTTAGAAAGTTTTACGCAACTAAATTTATGTAGCGGCGAAGAAGTAAGTAATTTTAGAAAGCAACACATATTTCCGAAAAACTCTCAGATTCCAACTTTTTTTTTTTTCTAGCCCGATTCAAATGGTAATCCTACAACACCTATTGAACCGCCATCTACGACGAAACTTTTTCTAGATTTAGAACAGGAATTACGTCAAGCCAATGCTGCCAGCATGTTAAAGTCGAATAAACACAATTCTGATAGTAGTAACAGTTCCAGCGATGACGACTTGTGGGAAATTTCGATCAATCAATTTATAGCTACCGTGCTAGCAGTAACCAGTATAGTTAAAGGATTCTATGTCCGCACTTCAATCAAAGAGAAAATTGAAAAGATGCAAAAGAATCGTCGCAAATGCATAATATCGAATTACTAAATAGAAATCCGAATTAATTTGATTTGCAAAAACAATATATACATTTTTTTTTTTTTTGTCCTAAGAGAATTTAATTGTTGCAATAATTCTTTTGCTTTAGTTAAAAAGATTTTACTTTAATCAAAAATATATATGTATAATTATTAGCTTAAGTTTCATTATCTACAAATAATTAATAAAAAAAAAAAAAAATTAAAAATAAAAAAAAATAATATTACGTACGTCTTTATACTGTTTTATATTTGAAAGAGCAGCAAATATTCATATCTACTATCTGCACTAATTGTTGCTATAACTGTTTTTCTATTACCCCGTAATGTTATGTAATTTCGACGAATATTGCTCTCTCTGTTCGCTTTGTTGACGGTATGAAATGTGTTAATATATTTATTGAAAAATGTACTTTCTGCCAACAAATTATTCATCAAGGTCTGTGGCGTTTAAAAAGTTCAATTATATTTTGAATATAGATCAAAAAATGTGCGAACACGTGTGTTACAAAAGTTTTGTGCAAATTGATTGCATTGCTTTTAATCACAAATATAGCGATTGATCAGGCTCCAGCCGACACAGAGATCAGATATAATTTGATCTTACCTAACATTGATTAACGAATTGTTTCGAAACAGTTGGCAAAACTTGAGATAGACAAAATATTCGGTACAGATATTATATATAATGCAATAAGAAAATAATATGGTATCGCCAGGGATTGATTTTTGATAAGCTTTGGCTTCACAAGAGCCATTGTAAATATATGCAGACATTTTGTTTATAAATATTTTTATATTACACCTATGAAAATATTAACACCACAAATTATCTTAGAGGGAAGTGCGATTAGAAATAAAAGAATTATTAATTAATTAATAATGCGGCTTAACACAAATTAACTAATCCTAAATCGTGTGTGGTCACATCATTTCCTTTGAAGAAAAAAAAAAGAACGCTTCTTGTTTGCCGCTATTAAAAAGCTATTACAATTTTGTAAAAAAAAATTCAACGGAATAAGGTAATAAAATAGTAAAGTGCTCGTGTAGAAAGTATTAAACCCTTTCATTGACGCATATTGTCACTTTAGATTATCTGTCATTGCGGTCGTTGGTGTCAGCAGTTGGTACGAAAATCGATAATGAATTTTGTGAATGATTTGCACAAAAACACGATACTATAGAAAACTAACGTAAAAAATAATAAGAGTATGCAGCTAATGATGGGCATTATTTTGAAATTTTCTCATCATTTTTTTGTTTTTTTTTTGTTTTGCGACTATAAAATTACTATTAGGACCTGGAACGTGCTGTAGAAAGTAAAACATTTTTGAATACTATTTTTGATTGTTAGACCAGTACCAGTATATAGTATCCAATGTATTTCTAAATTTTTTTTGGCGATTGATAAAAAACCGATTCAAGTGCTTTTTGGTCAACCAAAAAAGCAAAAAGCTATCCTTCTTTACGCTATTACATGTTTCGTTTAATATATTTAATTAAAATGGGGATGTGAGTAATGTACTTTCGTTGAAGAATCACATATATAAGTATCACATATATACATGATATTTTTAATAAAATAAGTGAAAACAATTTACTGAGATTAGCGGTTAGAATGTTGAAACCATATAGATATATATCTAAAGGTAGTTAATTTAAAGGCATACGGAGTCGAATTCACATATTTTTTAAGTTTGATGAAAGGCTTACTTTGAAGTTCTAAAAGAAAAAAAAAATTTTTTTTTTGAATAATTTAAATAAATTTAAAATAACCCTTATTCGCTATTTTTTTAATAAATATGTTTCGAAATTAAACAACAACAAAATTTTCAATTATTTATTTTGACTATTTCTCATTCGCAAGAAATTTACTTGTAAAATTCAGTAAAAATCCATTCATCCAGCATATCCTAGGTTAGGCAAACCTTATTTTGTAATAATTTAACGGCATTTCTTACATAATGAACCGAAGAGCAGAAAACCGTTTTAGGTGTACGACTTGTTTTGCGGGGTCTATTTAACGGCTTCAAGAAAAACTTTCCACACTTAAAGTTCTAAAATAAGATTATGGGCTACAAATTCATTGCTGATCTTCGATCTTAAGACAATGATATGTTCTTGGAAGTTGCTAAGCATATATTTAAATACTAAATAAAATTAATTTTTGGAAATTTTTAAAACATAGTACTTAAATTTTACTTTAACGATTTCTTCCAGCTATGTACTAAATGACAAAAAAGTTGATAAAAACAATCGTAGGCGCACTTATTATATATATTTTACTTAATTGGTTACCATTTGAAAGCCGTTGCGTTTCGAGTTACGTATGGCTTTTCTCATTCGAAATTTATTTCAAAAAGAATAATTTGAAAACATGAGGCAAATTTGTTGTTTGTTAGTTCACAATGGCGGAGTCAATAAGACCGACCATTAAATACCCTACACCGCAAAATTATATTCTGTTTCTATATAAAGGCATATTTTTCATATGCGTATTTATGCAGAAGCGGGCTCAAAACGCAACATAACGTCGTACAAGTACAATCCTTACATAGGACAGTATCCAAAAATAGGAGTAGATGGTCCAAATTTTGTAGAATTCTTTAAGATATGATGTTACTATGATATTATTTCCATCAGCAAATTATAAAACTTTGACTTTTCTGCCCTACAATTTTCGTGAAAATCCTTGTTAGGGTGGAATCGAAAAATCAGGTCGAAATGGTCCCAACTTGGTGCAGTTAATTTTTATATGTTAAATTACTTTTATGATATAATTTGCAACTTGTAGGTTAAACACAATAATACGTGGAAAGACATCGGACAGATGGACAGACAGATAAGCTTAGATCAATTTCGAAAGTGATGATACATACATTGTCTTGGTAAGCTTGGAAACTACATGCAATAACGTAGTGGAAAAATAATTAGATAATGTCATTAGATATATATTTAATTTGTCAATTACTATCACTACTGCAAGACATGGTTTATGGATTCAGACGATTTGTGAATTTACGCTAACGAAAAAAAAAAAAAAAATTAATTTCGAGTGTTTTAGCTCTTAGTGCTCATCTTACTTATAATCTTAGAATTTATGCCTCTTGTTCGAATAAATTATAGTAACAACAATAATTAAGTTCGAAATCCTAATGTAAGTAAACATTTAAACATTGTTACGAAAATCCCAAATCCAGTTGACATCAGCTAAGTAATTTTCCCCTCATAATAAATTTCCTAAAGAAGGAAAAACCAAATGAGCATTCGCAGACGCGTCATGCAGGTGCAGGCCGATGGAAACGATTAGAGGAAAAAAGAGGCTGCGATTAGAAATAAAACCATAAATTTAAGTATAGTAACATACTTGTAAAAATGTACATAAATAGAATAGTTGTGGAAGGGAGAATGAGTCGGGCAAGTACGGCCAAAATAAATTGTGAATAATTCTACTGTTATTATCATTATTATTATTATTATTTTAATTTTAGACTAATGAATTGAATTCTTAGACTAAAAAAAAGAGACATTGAGCACTAGCAACACAGGCTATCGGCTCTAATTTAAATAAATGGATATTAGATAATAAGCTTAGTAGTATTAATAAAGTAAAATATTGAATTGATATTCTGTTCTGAAGTTGATTGTAGAATGTTCAAAGGGTTAATCGTTCCGAATGCAATACTTCTAGCCAAGGAAAAGTTGAGGCAGTCGCAGAGAATGTGCTTTATAGTAAGAGTTTGTCCACAACAGCAGATTGGGGGAGAAGACTTCTTCAGGATCCATTGGTGAGTTGCAATTGTATGACCAAGGCGAATTCTCGAAAATGTTTGGATCTTGGTTTTCTCAACATTTGTTGGATATAGAGGTGGAGTTAATTGAGGGTTAATGCAAGAGTAGTGTTGATGATGGTATTGTAAATTTCCTTCTGCAATTTTCTCTTTAACTTTTCTTCCAATGTATCTTTGAAGATCCAACTTTTCCATGACATCATCCATAATTAGAGGAGCAGAAGCAGCATACTTTGCCGCTCGATCAGCCTGCTCATTTCCCAGTAAACCGATGTGACTTGGTACCCATAACATTTTAATTTTTCCGTCGGGTGTAGTAATTATATTCCTTAATTTGTTGATGGTGCTCCATCTCGAAGTCGAAGGGTTCCGGGTAGCTAGTAATACAGACAAACTGTCAGTAACAATGACGGTTTTGAGTTTGTTTTTATGGGCAAGGTTGGCAGCGTGAAGGATAGCTCTGGCTTCGGTTATGAAAGTTGAAGTGCTTTCGTGAAATATGTGGTTGAGAAGAACCCGTCCTGTAGCATCTACCACCGCACAAGCAGGAGGCAGACCAGGAGATTTTGAGCCGTCTGTGTACAAAAGATTCCAACCAGTATTGTCCAATACTTGGGTTTTCTCAGCTATTAGATTCCTGAAGACGTAATTTGGAGTATCTTCTTTCTTGTGCATAGACAGTGAGATGTCAAAA